AAAATATTTGAACTTACAACCCAGAAAAGAAGTATATCTACCTTCAACTACTCACAAGGCAATGTGTTTAGCGTTACTCTAGTGGTACGAACAAAGCATCATAGGAAGAAGAGGATCTGATCTATTTCGCACTGAGGGAGAATGGGTAAGTAGAAGCCATAAGAGGCTTTTTATAGGATGGGAACATCTGCATCTGAAATGGGTGTTGAAGGATGATCAAGACGTTGTTAAATCCAGATGGAGGAAAAGGCATTCCAGACAAACAGATAACACAAGCTATGGGGTAAATGGTCTTTAAATAGAGCATGGTAAGCTAGTACTGCACAAATGTTAGTTGAATGAGGGACAAATATATGAAATGTTCAAGGAAAGATGAGAGGGTGACTGGGCTAGATTATAGGATTAGAGCAGGCGGGAGGAAGGCCACCAGAAAAAGAGGCAAGAAGGGCCCAGGTCAAAACCACACACAAACTGCAGCCTAAGGAGTTCAGGCTCTGAAACGAAGGAGGAAGGAAGAACAATGAATTCTCCTATGTTTCCTCTATATCTGCTCTATATTTTTAAAAGCCCATCCTGGACACTCTGTGGATGATAAGCTGTACAAAAAACTTGAAGGGCTGAATAGGGTCAAAAATTAAGCTGGGTATTTAGTAGGCAGGGACACATCTGATCAATTTACAATTTTTGTCTATAAGATCTTAAACTCCAAAATGGACTAATTTAGAACCAATTTATTATATAAAAACAGCATCTAAACAAAAGTTAGCTAATTTATACTTATGAAGAAATGGGGAAAATGAAACAAAATATATACAGATAACAGTAGCAAGGACACAAAGCTGTATTCGTTCACATCAATGAATTCAAATGGTTTCAAACTTGAAATTTAAGAATTTTATTCAAATATACTAAAAATAAATACGTAAAATATAATACATATGGTCCAAGCAACACAAAAATCTTTAAAAATCGGTTGCTGTATGTAAAGAATCTCCCCTGGATGTAAAAGAAAAAGAAGCTGTACATCTCCACACCCCCATGTGGGAGTTTCTGAAATAGATTTAGGGGCTTAAAATAAAACTTCAATCAAGAATTTAATGCCAGGGTTGCTTAATGTGTGCACTCCCGAGTCAGGTGAAAATCTGCTCTTATTCGAACTATAAATTAGATGTTTAATTTTTAAATACTAAGACAGGTTAAAATAGCATTTTATATATATATATAAAAAATCCCTAGAATTATGTAATTACAACTACCACAAAAAAATTATACGCTAAAGTTTATTAACCATAATAAACTTTGGTCTTCCCTTTCCAAAAGTCTTGAAGAATTTGACTTGTGGCAGATTTGGTTTGCATACTTAAAGTACAAACCTCTGTATTTCCGAAGTATCTCTCTTCCTAAGTATACTAAGTTTCTTTAAAATGAACTCTTCTAGAATATAAACCCATCAATCAACAGATGAAAAAGTGCTAACCTCCCAAATAAGGAAAGGCATGCAAAATCAAAGACAATGAAAAGTACTTCCACCTATTAAATTAAAAATTATAATTGGAAATGATGGCAAAAATGTGATGAGATCAGCTTCTAAAAAGTAATCTGGTAACATTTACCAAGAGTCTCCAGAGCTGTAAGTCTACTTACAGGAACCTACTGCAAGGAAGTAATTAGATGTGTGATCAGAGACTAAACCTCTCAGCAACAACAACAAAACGGAAAATACCTTAAGGTGCCTAGCAGGAGAGAGGTTAAAAAAAATTAATATTTCGGGCCGAGCCCATGGCGCACTCGGGAGAGTGCGGCGCTGGGAGTGCAGCAGCGCTCCTGCCGCGGGGTCAGATCCTATATAGGGATGGCCTGTGCGCTCACAGCGCTCACTGGCTGAGCACGGTATGGCCGGTCTCAAAAAGGAAAAAAAAAAAAAAAATTAATATTTCGGGCCGAGCCCATGGCGCACTCGGGAGAGTGCGGCGCTGGGAGTGCAGCAGCGCTCCTGCCGCGGGTTCAGATCCTATATAGGGATGGCCTGTGCGCTCACAGCGCTCACTGGCTGAGCACGGTATGGCCGGTCTCAAAAAGGACAAAAAAAAAAAAAAATTAATATTTCTACATTAAGAAATGTTATAAAGCCAAAAACTCATCTTTTACAAAACTTATTTAATAAAAATGAAAAAGTGCTCACAACAGAATATTCAATAGAAAAAAAAAATATTCAATGATACTGAATTTGAAAAAAAATGTTTCCTATTTTTTATAGCATATACAGAGATATAGTACATATAAAATGCTGATTACCATAAATACTAAGATAGCAGTATTTATATTTGGTTGGTACATTACATAAATTTTTGGTTTTTTTTCTTTAGACTTCCCAGTATTTTTCCTTTTTAAAAGTAATGGTTGGGTCTTCTATAAGTAGCAAAAAAAATCCATGACTGGAAAAAAACATTTCTAGGACTGAAAAGCTAGGTGGCATCAGTAATACAAATGGAAACACACACACTTGGCCGGACACTCGCCATGGGCACATGCTGTCTGGGATCCAAACAGCACAAAGCTCACTGACAGCTTATAATGAGGCTTATTTTAAAGGAGGAACCTTGTAGGGAAAGATGATTTGAATACCCTGATCTTATTAATTAATTACCATTCAATATTGTTTTATAAAGGCCAAAATGATATATACATATTAATCAGCCAGCTCCATATCCTGTTTTCATTTCTTTGGTGTATTTTCATGAGAACAATTTTATTCTTTAAGATGTATCGTACCTGACCAGAAAGCATTCTGGATTTAAAATGAAAAAGCTTGCTTTTGAGTCCTGCCTTGCTCTACTCCTTACAGACAGGTCTAGTCCTAACCTCTCTGAACATCTTTCCCTATGAAGAAAATGGGGCTAATAACACCATCTTTTATTACTTCTCAGGGTTATTTGTGTCACATAAAATTGTATATATAAAATCATTCTAGCTTTAAATGTCACTGATCATTAAATTTTAATAAACTCCTAAAAAGCATGGTTATTTGTGTAATAAATACACAAATAAATAAACAGAGGGAATGAAAAACCACATTTTCATGCTTCTTCTACTGGCAGAAGTACCAATAAAAAGGCAGGAGGAAATACACCTGGAAGAAACCCTTGGTCAACCACCAGACCACACCAGAAGGATGTTTGAGAGAACACCTAGTGTGCAGTGATACTGTGTGAGATGCACTATGATGTACCGTTATCTCCAAGAGCAAAAAGAGAGGGAGAATGGGTAAGCTCTCCATTGTGACCTCTGTGCCATGTGATTTTTCTGGGATCTATGCCTCTAGAGTTACCTGTCATTTGAAAAGGGAACTATGAAAAATAATGGCAATTAGCAGCCTTTTTCCTTTAATGTAAGAAATAAATTTTATTTGGTTGGCATCATGAAATTAATGGATTCCCACATGAAAAACAGTATCGGCACAAGTACTACAATCTAAATCTAGTTGACTGTCTATTAATTTCAAACACAGCTGAATAATTTCAAAATATTCAAAAACAGTCAGTCAAAAAATAAAATCCAAATTCTAAGTGGGAAAAGAGCCCACCATTTATTGTAATTTGCACCCCCAGATCCTACATATTATCTGGTCTCAAAATGATCTGAACAAAGACTAGAGTAAGAATATAAAAAAACATTTTCTCATGTCATTTCATTTTCCTTCTTAATGAGATGAACTAAAGAAACAGATATTTATTACTTCACAAAAACTGAGGGGAAAAAGAACTTATTGCTTCTCTTACATGCAATTACTAATCATTTCATTTATTTTTTAAATGATAAATAAAATTTCTCCAATACATACATTCATGTCATTATCACTACTGTATAAAAACAAAGTGCCTACTTTCTACAAATAGCAACTTTTTACTGAAAGACAGCACCTTGTAATTCTCAACACAAAAGTTTCTGGAAATAAACTAGACATTTGGGCCTAAAGCCTTAAGTCACAACATTTCTCATCAGGATGATTAATCTTTACAAAAAGGCAGGAAAACAAGACATAGTCACCCACTTTGACATTTTCATTCTTTGAAGAAAAAAAAATTCCAATCTAGTTCATGAACTGGAACCATCGTTTGTAAAAAGTATGCAATCCTTCAAGAGTATACTTTGATTATAAGATTAAGAAGATCATTATCTCTCTTATTCTTTGCATTGAGAAAACTATACTGACATTAAAAAGTCGTGCTAGCATAGTTTTACTTAGAAATCTGATAAACCTTTGCCCAAGAACCAGCCAACCTTTAATAACAAGGTTGCTTCATTTTTTCCTTTTCTGCTTAGTTGGAAAAAATATAAACAACAAAGTATAACATTAAAAAAAAACACACCCCATCCATTGATTTATACAGTATTCATTTCTGTGCAACCTTTCTATATCCAGTGATTGGAGAGTGGGAGTGTGTGTTTTTCTGGCAAGAGTTCCAGCACCCTGAGGCTGCTGTGAGCGTGCACGCGTGCTCAGGCACGTGGCGTGTGCCTGAGGAACAGAGTAAAAGCATCACCGTGGTCATGTGGAAAGAGAGAGAGGAAGGAGAGGTGTGAACAGGCAGGAAGAGGTTTTGCTGCAGGCTCAGGGAGCTTGCTGCTGGTTGTACTTAAAAGCTTTAACCTAAAAAAGTCAGGTCTGAGATGTTTCTTAAAGATGTGGGTTTGATGCCTTTCTCTCATTTTCTTGCCTCACTTTTGAACAGCTTAAGTGGGGAGTAAACCAGTCCTAACCTCGAGAAAGCCTTGCTCTAGGGAAAAGTCAGAATTAAATCAATGACTCAGATGAGATATGAGATGGAGGGAGTCATTCAAAGACAGATTGGGGCGAAGGCAGGGAGGGGATGTGGGCATGGGCAGGGCAAGTAGAGGGACAAGCACAGGAAAGCAAAGGGAGCCTGGCTCTGAGCAAATGGTCTGGAAACTAAGCTGGCAAAACAACCAATGTGCCCATCTGACATTAATTCAGTTACCTGTGTTATTTTTTCTATTCCCTGGAAGTTGTGCTTTTCAAAATGTTCTGCTATATTTAGGAAGGTATGACGTTCTAGATAGCAGCAATTACTGAGGACTATCAGAAGTCGCTGTTCCTAAAAATAAAACAAAGTTTTAGAGAACTACATTTATAGTAACAAACTGAGAATATACTAAATAACACTCATCATTTATTAAGTTTAATTATAATCTCTTGCTCTTTAACATCAATATCCAATCCTTTGCTTTTCTTGGCTGCTTCTTTACCAATATTAACATAGAGAAAAACATAATGCAATTATAAAATTCTACTAATTGTTCATTACTACATAATAACTACAGCATCAAATGTTTCTTATAAACTTTCACAGCTGTATTGAAAAACAGATTGATAAAACAGTTTACTAAAGCGAGATCAGCTGTTCTTCTTGTGAAAGGGATTCTACTTTATTGTTTATTCTACTTAACACTTTGTATACACAAAAAGGCTATACAAATGGATATTTTTAATAACTAATTACATAAAAGTGTAAAAATAATTAGAAAACAGTTTATAAATTTTTCATTACTTGGAAGAGAATTATACTGCCATACACCTGTATGATGAGCTCCTCTAAAAACTTAGACCTTTGGGAACTTTTTGTGTATGCAGGAGGATGACTAGGAATAGCTTCCCACTAAAGGGAGTGAAGGTCACTGTGGCCAGGGGCCTCCTCCAGAGAGAAAGGGCAGAACCCCACCTGCTTCTACATTCTCTAGGGTTCTATCCACCAAAAGTAATTTCTTACAAAAATAACCAAACCCAAATGCAGATGAGCACAATATCCTCTTACAATTCAGAAGAACTATTTTTGTAAATGAATTCCAGGAGCAGCCCCTGTCACTGCTGTGCTGGCCTGCCAAGATAGGGAAGTGTACCTGCAGGGGTGGGTGTGTGCCCTGCAGCAGCTGTGACTCCTCTGGGCCCCGGCTTGTGACCCCTTGCCTAAAACGAAGGCAAAAACCACTTCCCAGGAAAAGTTTTCACCCACACTTTGCTTACTCTTTCTGTACATAATCTGAACAGGTTACAGTAAAGTAATGCAATTTAGCAAATGTGGAGAAAGGTTCCTGGTTTTCGAGGTACATGAATCAAAGACGGACGACAACAGTCCCTGGACTCTGCTGCCAAGCATATCTTATATCTCCCAATGATTTCATTTAGCTCAATCGAATTTCGAAAAACATTCTCAGTTGCTTTATTTAAAATGTTCCTATCTTTATTTCTGGAAGAGTGTAGCCTATTCACTGCAGTTTTTGTTTACCAACAAATACAAGTAAAAGGCCGAGGAACTGTTACGGTACCTTCAAGTAAATGAAAGCTTGTTAATGACCCTGAATTAATCTGTGGATGGGATATAAGGTACAAAAAAGGTAAAAAGGGTTATATCATATGTAATATTCTTTCTCCATATTTTGTGGATAAGTGACAAGAAAAAACCTAGAAAGAAAGCAAAGAACAAGCACTGGAAGCTTGCCCAGGCACGGCCGAAGGGTGTGGCTACAGTCCCCTCTTGCCCCCACACCTGGTGTTACCACTCACCAGCCCGCATGAAGCACATACAGTCAAGGAAAGAGGATGTTTCATCAACCACACTGAACATGCAGTGTTCCTTACAAATCTCAACTGGTTCTCAGTTTTAAAGTCAATCCTAGTCACTTTTCCCTTCAAGAGTAAAACCTCCTCATCCACAGACATGAGCCTGCTGCGTCTTCTCTGCCCTTTGCTTGACTTTTCCCATTGTACTATGCATGGTCCTTCTTCAAAAATAGAAAAACTATTTGAGTGATTTAAAGTCTTACTCTTGGTAGGTGTATTTTTCTCAAATCTAACCAATAGACAAAATAAAAATGGGATGAACCACTGAACACCACTATCAAATCCTTAGACTTGGATGACTGATCAAAAGCTTAATAAGAACTCAGATGGAGATGCATATTTGAAACTAACAACTCGAAAAAAGCTGCCACTTCTGGGGTGACTCCGGCTGCTAGGTCAGCTGGATGGAACAACTAGTACTTTTCTTAGTGTTCTCATCTACTGCCAGGTCTTATAGTGCTTATAATTCACACATCTGTATCTAGATTTTTCTCCGGGGATCCAGATCTCATCACCGATAGATATCTCTACCTGAATGTTACCCATTCAACAAATCTGGTCCCAAACTCTATTTTTAATCTTTTTTTAGGACTTGTTTTCTTCCTGAATTCTCTGTCTCAGTGAATGGTACCATTCTGCACTTAGTCATCCAAATAATTGAACCCTGAATAAATTTTTAAACTACTTTGACTAAATTATACTTTTTTAATATACCAAGTCCCCTATTTAGTTATACTTATAACTGTAAAAATGAGGGCCGATCCCGTGGCGCACTCAGGAGAGTGCGGCGCGGGGAGTGCAGCAGCGCTCCTGCCACGGGTTCGGATCCTATATAGGAGTGGCCGGTGCGCTCACTGGCTGAGTGCGGTGCGAACGACGCCAAGCCAAGGGTTCCGATCCCCTTACTGGTCACAAAAAACCACAAAAAGAAAAATAAATAAATAAAAAAATAAAAATGACATAGGGTAAGAAAGCCAAGTCATGTTTTTTCTTGAGATATATACACACCCCCATCCATCCTTCAAACTCATGACAAACCAGACAGGGTTATTTTCTTTAAGAAAGCTGAGGTTATACATGTGATAATGTATGAATGTGAACCCTTCCTAAATACACATGTATGTTAAAATAAATGTGTGTGTGTGTGTACGTATTTGGTTTTGTCTTTGCTATGAAAACTGTGTTTAAATAAAATGTTATTAGGGAACTTAGAGAATAAAACAGGAAAGCAGAGCTTCTCTGGTTGAAGAGGCAAAAGCTGTCAGGGAGGTGGGTGCCCTAGTCCTATGCCTCCTCCATAGCTGGTCACAGCAACTTCTGAGCACCAGGAGATGACTAGGGCACGCATTTAACACTCGGGAACTGCACAGATGCAGAGAGTATGTGCAACTATTTAAGCTGCAACTCAACTAAAAGCAGGTTTTAAGCGTGGAATATATATAAATTATACTTTACTAAAATTTTCACACAACATAACATGGCCCCAAAGTACAGAGCAGTGTTTTACAGTACATGCTATAGCAATGATGCAGTAACATTTAAAGTAACTTAGATTAATTTATAAAAATTTATAGTCATTACAGAGTTTTAAAGCGACTTGTTTTACTTACTATTTATCATCTATCTTACTTACAGAGGTCAAGCTGAAGTCTTCATGGATACTTCCAAACAAATCAGGAGAAGAAACGTCAACAGAAAGACTAAATATAGACGCAAGTAAGAGAACAGTTAGAGCTAAAGCACTAAAATTTAAAAGCGCAATGAAATTTGACTTTAAAATGTTTTGGTTAAAAAAAAATCAAAAATTCCGTATAAGTTTTTTTATATTTAGCAAATAACAGCTCCAAGAAGGCACTATAAACTATTAACATGGGCCGTACAAAATTTGCTTTTGGGTCTTCCCAATACTGACTTAATTAAATTTTTTTTAAAAACTACCAGGGGAGAAAATGTCAAGTAATTCTAATCATACTATTATTAGTATATACTCACACAATTAAAACGTTCTTGTCTATAAGAATCTCCAGAGAGCTTTTTGAAGCATTTTCTTAGTAAACCACTTAGTGGTGAGTTGATTTGGGATATTAGTTGATAACCCACAAGTGACCAGAAACATAAAATTGGGGGGAGGGGAGGAGAGATCATAAATTAACTGGTTAATTTATAGATATAACAGAATCATAATAAAAATCTCAGTAGGATTTATCTTCTTTAAAGTTGACTAACCAATTTTAGAATTCATATGAAAGAATAAAATTATAAAAATATTAAATCATATTTCAAAAGAGAGAGGTAATAAAAGGATACCAATCTGAAAAACATTAGAACATAAACTAATGATGATTAAAACACCAACTGATATAAAATATATTTGAATGAATGGAACAGAAGATAAAATTCAGAAACACATTGCACTATATATTAAAATCCAATGATGGATGAAACAAATTATAACAAAATGCTGAAAAGACATTTAATCAATAACATCAGGGATATGATTAACAATACAAATTCCTGGTAGAATAATGAGCTAAACAAATTAAATCAAAGAAAATGGAGAAGAATTAAAAACTTATTAGGTCTAGTTTTATATACTAAAAAGCAAAAACCAATACCAGGAAATAGACAAACATGGAAAATTTCTCAAATTGTCAATTAAAGATTTAAGAGGAATTTATTTCAGTATTATCTGTGTCAGAGCATGAATCTTAGATGCACAGAAGTTACACATGCCAAGTATCATTCAAAAAGCTAGATTTTTTTTTAAAACGGCATTTTATAATGCTGTCACATAGACTAACATTATAAAAAAGTTATCACACGGATTTGTAATATCAATAGTAAGCACCTGTCTTCTGGAGCTCAAATAACTAAGCCTGACACAGACTTAATTCTACCAACATGCAGTGCAACCCCCCTAACACCAGAATCGTGAAAGTAATCAACTTTTTACTTTATTATTTATAAAACTTGTTCTTTTGGACAATTAGTAAGCTAATTAGATGTTCAATTTGGTCAATTTGTCTCTAATAAGGCTAAGATGCGTTCAGAAAATAAATAAATTATGGAAAGAATATAGGCTGATGGAGTTTGGATGTCTTATCCCGTCCAAAACTCATGTGGGAATTTGATCTCCAATGTGGCAGTATCAAGAAGGAGAAAAAGGCCCTGAAGGCATTGCAGAAGCCTCTGGGGCCAACCCTTCCATTTCAGGCCCAAAGGCCAAGGGAGAGAGAATGGTCTTGGCAAACAGGCCCAAGTCACCCTCCATGGGCTTGCTGCCCAGGGCCACCTGGAGAAGCTGCTTCCAGCACCAGCACCCCAGCTGCTTTGGCTGCTCCAGCTGTGGCTAAATTGGCCCCAGGTGTGGCTGGACCTGCAGCTTTGGAAAATACAAGCTGGAAGTCTTGGCAGCGTCAACATGGTGTTAGGTCTGC